CGTGACACCTGCCTGGAGCTGGGAGGATGCAGAGAGCCAGGCACGAGGATGGGTGGCTGGTCCCACACGGAACGCCAAATGCTAAATATGGGCTATGGCATCTCTAGGAACAGCTTGTGAAACCCACTGACCCAAATTCTCCCACCCAGAGCATGTTCTGGCTGCAGCACAGTGATAATGAGCTGAAATAGCAATGAATGGTTGGCAAACACTCAGCTGGAGGAGCAGCGCCGCGGGCATGAGCACGAGCAAAGGGCTCGGGTCAGCCCCCGATTTGATATCACAGTCCCCGCTGGCGAGGGGAGAGCACCCCACAGCCAGTCAGCCCCCCGCCCCACTCCCCCGGGGCAGGGGGTGCAGGGCAGGGGGTGCCCGGCCCTGGCTCGGAAGCGATGGCTCCTGACAGCGCTCGGCGGGATCGGGGCAGGGCGACAGCCCCCTCATCGCTGCCGATCATGTCAGAGGGGAGCGGGACCCCCCCGCTGACCCACTTGTGCTGCAGGAGCAGCCGGCGCCGTGCACGGGGGGCTCTGGGGGCGGGGGCCGTGGCCGGGGGCTGCAGGGGAGGCTGTGCTGCGAGGATGCCGCGGGAGTGCCGGGGGCACGTCCCACCCTCCACGGCAGCAGCTCCTGCGGAATGTCGGTGTTTTCCTCACCCCTCGGCAGAGCCCTGTCCATCAGGACCCCAAACACAGCAGCACCAACACGTTCCCTGTGTTTGGGTGCCACTTCCAATAATAACAGTCACTGTTGTTCACATTTACCATGTTCTGCCGGCCCACGGAGGGGTGTCAGGGACGTTCTTATGGTCCTTTTGTGCTTTTGGCCACTCGACACAAGCACGAGGTGAACAAACCCACAAATCACGGAAGCAGGTGGGGACACCCCTGCTGCTGGGAACCCACACGGGCTGTCTTCCAACCCAAGAGCCCCAGCACTGCCTTTCTGCTGCACAAACCAAACTGTCTCGGTTTGATTTCAGTCCAAGAAAATTGATGTGAAATGTTGGGGTTTTTCCCACATGAGGCTGTGCACAGTTATTACCCTTTGTCTGTTTTTTTCTTTTAATAATAGAAAAATCAAAAAACAGGAAACCAATACTCCTGTTTCTTCCTTAATTTGATTGTATTAGAATTGAAATGAAGGACTGTAATATGAATCTCTTTGTAAAAAATGAAAATGCCTCAAAGAAATGTTTTTGATGATCCAACAGATACCTGTTCAGGTTCCACTCTGCCCCATCACTGGTGCCTGCAGCTCTCCTGGCTGTGCTGCAAAGGCCGTGGCCACGGTGGCGTGGGTGTCCTTGCAAACAGAAACTGCCTAAAATGTCATTCTGGGAGCAGTCTGCTGTTTGAAATATTTTCTTTTTGTATAAAGATCATGAGGATTTGGTGCTGGCTCCATGTGTCAAGGTGTCCCCGAAAGGCTGGGGAGTTCAGGCCCCCCTGGCCAGGGTGGAAATGACAAAGTTCCCTCTTGTTTCATTGTATTGAAAAATTTGGTTATTTTTCTTTTTACTTTCTAATTATTTAACACTCACCACAAAACCTACTTCCCTTTGCAGTTCATTTTGTACTGACAGTTTTAAAACCATCAAACAGAATTACCCAAACCTGGGAGGTGAAGCTGGTGCTGAGGGTTTCAGAGAACTCCTCTGACTCCTGTTTCCCTGGGAGAGCATTCCTGGATGAAGGAGTTTAACCCATCTGAGATGTGATTACCACAAAACGGATCAGAGGAATAAGGAGCAGCGGTGCAGAGCACTGCGAAAAATACCCGGGATTCAAAACAAGCTTTAATTTTAGTGTTTGTTTTGTTCCCAGCCCAGAGGCTACCGGGGTACAGAGAGATTGAAAAGGTCAAATTATCCGAGAAGCACCCGGTGTTAGAGGTGATTAAAGTACAGAGAGGTGTGGAAGAAAATGATTGTGCCAATTATTAAAAAAAAAAAAGGAGAAAGCACAAGGACTGGATGATCACCAGCCCCGGCTCTTTCTGGTGTTCCCTGAGCCCTTCCAGCAGCACCAGGAAGGACAGAGCCCTTTGCTCCTGCCAGCCTCGTAGAGATGATCATTCCTAGTGAGTAATAATAGTAAATGTCATTTATTGGTGTCAGCTGCCTGTATCCCAGTCCATTCCTGAGGTACAAAGCAGACCAGGATGCGTGTGCGGAAAGAGGAGAATGATGAGGATGAACCCACTTTCTTTTGGGTCTTTTTGTACATTTCCTTCAGCAACAGCAAAACATTTTGGTTCCCTGGGTCAGCGTTTGCCTAGTTTGTTTAAATATTTACAGACTTGAGTAGTAAATATTAGTGGCAACCTACGAGCATCCTCCAGCCGTGGGAAGTGTGTCCCCATGTGTGCTGAAGCTCAGCTGGGCTCTGGAATTCGCTGTATTTTGTATGAGTACAGCAGGTAATGCCCTCACAGCAATTGTTATAATGATTTGCCATAAAATGTGACCTTGTGACACCATGAAAGAAAAAAGGATTAATTTATGGCTATTGGTAAATATTACCCAGGTGTCAGCAGTGTTACCTGGACGGGAGTGTCTGTCCCAGAGCAGGCACAGCGGGTGTTGCCACCCCATCCCTGCCCCCTACCCCCGCGGCCCTGGGACAGCCCCGCTGCAGTCCCGGATCCCTGACCTTTCCATGAGGGACAGCAGCTTTTCCCTTCACGTCCCTTCTCCTTGGAGCAGCCTCTTGCCTCCGGAGATGAACGATATTATTATTTAGCTCAGTGAAACGGAGGCAGCCGAGCCAGTGAGCACTAATGGAACAGCTCCAAGGCGCTGCCAGCTCCATCCCAGCTTTCCTAAAATCTCCCTAACTGGGGAAGAGACTGTTCTCCCAGTCTGAGGGTGTGGTTGTTACTGCTGCTAACGCACTTATCCCTGTGGTTATGTTTGTATCTGACCCTCTCAATTAGTGTGCCATGCCCGGGCATTAGACAGCTTTCCAGGACACTGCCCATCACCCTGGCATGTGGCTGCCACTGCACAGACTGGCACACAGGCCGATTTCCTAATGCCACTGAATCACGGTGGCATGCTGGCACAGGCAGGAGCACACACACGGATGGAGAGCAGCAGTGCTGGGACTGTCCCCGTGGGGTGACACGGGGCTGTGCTGCACCTTAGTGCCTTTTCCTGCCTGTTTTTTGGGGGTGCCCTGCAGAGCTATGCCCGCGTGGGTGCTGAGCAGTGCTGAGGGGGGTGCTGAGCCCCCTGCTCGGGGCCGGGCTGGTGGGCTCTGTGTCGCCGGGAACGCTGTCTGGGAGCAACGGCGGCCCCGCTCCCTTTGTCTGCCTTCCCCTTGAGTGGGGCATTTCACATCCCTACTGACAACGTGTTGGGGACATTCCGACATCGAAGTGACAGTGGCATTTCCATGACCTGAAAGCCGTGCGGGCTTTGAAGAGATTCGCTGTCCAGAATCATGAGCTCGACTTTGTCGGGCTGTTAAAGCGCCGTGATGGGAACAGCAAGTGACAAAGTGTTTCTGCAGAGCGCGATCCGGCCTGGCAGGACTCATCTCCTCCGGCCCTTGGAATTTGCAATATTCATTAGCAGTTGGGGAAAAATGTGCTTCTTTCTGAATGATGCAAATTGTGCAAGGGACCCGTTCTCACGCGTGTGCCCCCGGGCGCTCCGGGGGTGGAGGGGAGCAATTAAGCCCCTTCCAGCCCCTCGGTGGGTACCTTCGTTAGCGCCGAGCTGGCGGTGCCGGGGTGGGCGGGCTCTGCTTCGGGAAGCGAAATGTCAGGGCTGGGGTGTGTCCCCTGCACCTCGGCCTCTGCCTCCCGAGGGAAAGGTCTGCGGCCACTGTGGTGGGCACGGAGGAGACCCCCGTTCCTGGGGCTCTTGGCAGAGGCTTGTCAGGGGATGGGCTCTCGTGTGTGTGACAGCAGCTGTGCCGTGGCAGCTCCAGGGCTGGCAGCAGGCAGGGAGCCTCAAGACCCCAGACTGCTCCTGCCTGTGCCATGGCTTGGTTCTGGCACCGTGATGCACCACGTCATGTCACTCCATGGCACATCACACCACCCCTCCATGGGGCACCACGACACCCCACAGGGCACCACGCTGTGCTCGGGGGACCATGCCTTGCCACACAACGTGGCTCTGTGCCGCAGCCTGTAAGACCTGTTCACAGCAGGTGGGACTGACTGTGCCACACCGTGTGGCACCTGCTCAAAGCACAGGGACATTGCTTCCGCAGGGTTTTGTCACTCCTGATGCCAAGTGTCACCACAGCCACTGCCCACACTCCCTCCCCAGGCCATGGGCAGAGCTGCCAATCACGGGGCCCAGTGTCCTCCTGCTCCAGCCCAGGGTGACACTGGTGCCAGGCTGGCCCTGTGGGATGGCTCTTTGGAGAAGGTGGTGATGAGATTCAGGATGTTCCCCATCCTCCAGGCCTTCCTTCCCCTTTCCTCCCAAGGGCTGGAGGTACATACATCAGCCAGTGGTTACTGGGGACTTTGAAGGCAGTGGTGACACCTGAGGGTCCCCCGGGGATGCTGCCAGCAGTGTTTGATGGGGAGGGATGAGCCAGGGGGTGTTTGGAGGGCAGCACCCTCCCTGTCCCAATCCTGCCCCACTGGAGGAGCTCTGAGCCTGGGAGCCCAGCTGGAGTGGAGAGGGAAGTGCTGGTGGGGAGCTCGGGGGCTGTCTGGAGCCTCTGGGAGATGCTGTATAAACATCCACAGCCCAGGCCATCTGTCAGGGCTCAGTGTAAACACCCCTGAGCAGGAGCAGGGAGCCCCTTTCCCAGGAGCAGGGCTCTGGGGAATGGCAACTCATCTGGGCTCTTCCCCCAGTGCTCACAGGACCACAGGAGCTGCCTGCAGACACCCTGACCCCCCTGATGGATCCACCATTGCAGCACAGCTGGCTGTCCTTGGGATGGCCACAGGGAGCTCGGGCATTCACAGAAGCATGGAATCACACGATGTGTAAGGTTGGAAAAGGCCTCTGAGATCATAAAGTCCTACCATTCCCCCAGCACTGTCAAGGCCACATCCACACATTTTTTGAACACTCCCAGGGATGGCTGTGGTGCAGTCGATTCGGACCATTTGGCCTCTTCACTACCCACCTTCCGCTGCTCCGTTAGTTCAGGATTCCTCTGCAATCAAATATTAAATTGGGTTCAGTGGAAGTGTGCTCCCTTGTGCCCACTGCCCTGGAGCTGCAGCAGCACCCGCCACACGCAGGGCTCGGCTCAGCGTCCCCTCCCGCTCTGCTCCCACAGGATCTCACAGCAGTGAGGGCAGGAAAGAGTGAAGGGACCACGTTGGGTGGCTGCAGAGATGGGGACCAGCTGGGCCACCGGGGCAGTGCCGAGGGCTCTGCAGTGTCCTGTGTGCGTGTACAGCCAGCCTGGGGATTTAACACCATAAGGGCAAGGGCGGGTGTTTCGATGGTGGAATTATAATTGTCTACCTGATTTATTGCAAGATTTCCAAGTTTCTGTCCTGATTTGATAAAAATAAGCCCGTTGATAAAGACTGGGAGAGGGTTTGTGCTGAGCACGAGGCACACGTACGACCCGTTGTGGGGCCCAGGGCCAGCACAGGCAGCTCCCTGCCTCTGCCTGGAGCCTCTCGGCGGGTGGCCACCAGGGAAAGGGTTAATTTAACCAGTTCTCATGGGGTTTTGGAAAGTTCCTTTTTTCCAGGAGGCTGCCTGACGCGCAGTGACAGGGCCCTTTGAGCAGCGCACAAAGGCAGTGCTCTCGCCGTGCCCTCTGCAGCGCTCCCACCCGCCCCAGCGAGCAGCTATAATCTCACTAGCAGCGGCTTTCACTGCTGTCACTTCGAGCCTCCTTCGCCATGTGAGTGCCTCAGATCTCCAGCAACGCAAAAAAGCTAATGAACGAGTAATAAACAAGTGTAGCCGAGCAGAAGGGCTGCACACGGGAACATCTGAGCCAGCCCCGCTGCTGGGCCAGGCTGGGAGACACCGCGGCCAAACGGAGCTGTAATTAAAAAAGTCTAATCTTCCTTGGTATCCACAGATAAAGGGGGGGAGGGCATGTGTAGAGGTGACAGGGAAGGGAAGTCAGAGTGGAAACACAAATGGAAGGAGAGGGAGAGGAAGAGGAAAGAGCAGAGAGGAGAAGGGAAGGTGGTTGGAGACCGCACGAGGCGGAGGGATGGCACAGAGGAAAGGGGCTCTGGGGTACCCATCCCTCCCAGGTTTGCTCCCCTCTCTCCTTAGAGAAGTAGAAGAGCTGGAGGAGCATCCTCCTTGCTGAGCTGAGGTGTTCTGGGAGGTGTGTGCAGTGATCCTGCTTTCTGCAATCCCGAGAGCCAGGATCCTGCTGGGAGCTCCAGGGTGGCCCTGCCACGGGGCAGAGTTCCTGCTCCATCGCTTCTCCCTCTGCTACCTCCCCAGCCCCAGGCTATTCCAGGCTGGCTCTGCCATGGGGCACAGCTCCCTGGCCCATCTCTTCCCCCCTGCTCCCTCCCCATCCCAGGGGAATCCTGGCCCGTGGATGCCACTACATCAGCACAGCCCATGGGCAGCAGGGACCTGGTTCTCTGGGCTCTGGCTCCTTGTCCTGCTGAGCAGATTGCCACTGGGGACCTGTGCTGCTGGTGGCATGAGGAGCCACTGCAACCATTCATATTTTCCCCCATCTCATTAAAAAGAAAGGGAAGAAATGTTTCTTTTTTGGTAAAAATAAATAAGGAAAAGCCAAGACCTGTTAAAGTCATGGCTATTAATCTCCTACTCATCAGAGTGTTCGGGGACCAAGGACTGGCACAGACCTCAGGGTTAAATTGCTGTCACTGAGCCAGGCTCTGTCCCTCAGCTGTCCTCAAAATGCCCATTTGTCTGACACAGAAGGAACAGCTGAGGCTGTGCAGCCTTCACCAGCTGCTCTGCACTCCAGGCATCGAGCTGCACCCCAAAGCAGTGTGAGGAAGCCCCAAATCCACCTGGTACACTCTAGAAATGCTGAATTAATGTTTCTTAAGATAGCAGCTCCAACCACTGGCAGTTACCCCATCATTTTCCTTTGTGCCAATATTAAAACTCCTGTCCAGAGCAGTGTGACAGAGTGAAACTCCAGGAGATGTTATGAGGAATGACAACCTCATACCTTGGGATAGAGTCACAGGTCACCATTTTGTCCTCCTAATTTCCAGAGTTAAAAGAAAATAATCGCAGCCCTCTTGTTCCCTCTGGTTAAAAGTCCTAAGAGCAGTAAATTAACAGCATCAAAGACAGGGAAAAAAACCAGCCCTACATAAAAGCAAGTGGTCAATTTGGAGCCCTGGGAGGAGAGCCCAGGGCTGATCCAGCAGGACCCAGTGCCTGAAATGTCTCTGGTGTTCCTTTGAAGAAAATCATTGAAGTCAATGGACTCATTTAAGTGCTGGAAATGAGATGTGTGATTAAGCCCCTTGCTGAAGGGAGGCCTCAAAAGTTAAATTGTCTCATAAGCACAGCAGTGAAACAGTCTTGGGGATGGGGAACATTTTCTGCCCCATTGCAGAGAGCCCTGCTGTGTGTTTTGGGGGGCAGCCTGGGGAAAGCTTTGCCCCCCAACTCCAGCCCCCCAGAGCCCACAGCCTTTTGCTGCCCACGCCAGGAGGGCACTGTCCCTTCTCACCTCTTTTCCCGTTTCCTCCCTAACTGACAACTTTTAGAAATCCCACACTGTCATCATCAGGAGCAATTTTAGGATGTATTCTCTCACCTGGAAGTACTGCCCCTCTTGCCTGGCAGTGTCCTGCACATCTGTCCAACAGCTGCCAGAGAGGAGGGGGAATGGTAGAGGTGCAGTGGCTGTTTACAGAGCGGGTTAATAAACTCAGCTCAGGGCAGGAACAGGAACGGGTTCCTGTGAGCTCCGTTATTTGAACCTGGAAACATCTATCAGAGCCTCAAAGAAAAGGAGACAAAAGTATATTGCATTTGGTATTTCTTCTCCAGATTGATTTATCACTGTCACTCCTGCTCCTTCCTTCCCTCTGCATTCCTGTCTCCTGATAATGCTGTAATATCTTTTATTACAGGACATTATATAATGCAGTCTATCGCTGTGAATATTGTTATTCCGAGACCAGACTTCTTTATTCAGACCCAATTCTGCAATCAGTGGAATCTCCTGCTCTGGCTTTGAGGCAGAGCCCTGCAGAGACATCTGCACTTTGTCCACGAAGGAGAAGGAAAAGCCTCATGGTTTAAGAGGTCCTAATCTGAGGATTAGTCTGACCAAGCTGCCTTACAAACTCTGCAGGTGCCCCCAGAAAGGAACAGAAAATGGCAATGTTGCTACTGAAAGCGGATTTTTAGGTGGGTTCTGGAATTTGTGTTGTTTTTTCCTTGCTGTCTGTGGTGGCTCTTGGACACGGGCACCCCAGGCCAGTGTCTGTGGCCACAGTGGCCGGAGGAGCTGGTGACCCTCTGGGAATGCTCTGCTCTGGTGGGAGCTGTGGCTGTGGTGGGTGGAATTGTGGGCACATAAACCTGCCCCTTCATCCCTGGGCTCTGCTCAGGGGTGTATTTAGCCCAAAATTAGATACTCCAGCCTTTCAATTTACAGAGTAACAATAGGCTGGGTGACATTTCCTTGAAGTACTCACCCACTGAGGAGTGTGTCCGTCTGCAGCCCAGCCTGGAGAGTGAGGAAAGCTCCCTGTGCTATGCTCCAGTAAACCACTGACATCCCCTTAATGGTGCTATTCCAGGCTGGAGCCCTGAGGAGTCAGGCAGGACATCAGTTGGGGTTCTCACTGAATATCTCACACTATTGGCAGCTCCTCACTGTGCTGCCCTGGGTCTCAGGGCTGGTCACCTTGCCAGTAGGAGCTTAAAAAACCCTCCTGAGGAGAAAAACAAACCAAAAAGGAACAAGCAATAATGTCTAATTCCTGGTGTTTGGGTATTTATAGTCCCAGTCTGACCAGTTGGCTTCCAAGCATTGCAGGTTTTGATCACTGTCAAGGGGGGATGGCTTCAAACTGACAGAGAGATTTAGATGAGATGTTGGGAAGAAATTCCTCTCTGTGAGGGTGGGGAGGCCCTGGCACAGGTTGCCCAGAGAAGCTGTGGCTGCCCCAGCCCTGGAAGTGTCCAAGGCCAGGTTGGACGGGGCTTGAAACAACCTGGGCTAGTGGAAGGTGTCCCTGCCCATGGCAGGGGGTGCAATGAAATGAGATTTAAGGTGCTTCCCAACCCAAACCATTCTGGGATTTTGTGGTTTACTTTTCCTCTTTTAACTGGAACAGTCCAGGTTGATACTTGTGAATCATTATGGCACGACTTCCTAGGAAAGTGATGTTTCCCTGGTGTACCAGGACAATAAAAGCAGAATTACACCTTGTTCCTATGCTGGAGGCAGCACACAGAGCCCTCCTCTGCTACTTTGGTCCCAGGCATTGTCTACGGTTCCCCAGTGCCACAGCCACTGAATATCATTCCAGTGGTGGGTATTGGATGCTTCAGTGGTGGATGCACAGGGATAACATTTTTTGGGGATTCTATTTGAAGTCTCCATACCCTTCTGAAGTCACCATGGATGGTAAATGGCCAGAAAGGCTGATACTGAGGAAGGACTGGCCAGTCCCAACATAATTCATGGCCAGGAGGCAGGGCAGTAGCCAAAGGTATTAGGAGGTTTCCAGAAGGGATTAGGCATCTTCTTTGAAGGCAGGTCCAAGAGGGGTGATTAAGCAACTCCAGAAGTATAAACTATGGCCCAGCAGAACGTGGGAGGATACACAGGGAATAAAATCCCCCTGTACGTGACTCATTTCTTGTGCTCTTCCCTGAGAAAGCCCATCTGGCTGGGGCTGGAGCATCCTGAGCTCTGCATGTGCTTTGTTCGGGGCCTGTATTTTTGTGTAGCAGCTGAAATATCAGCAAAGGGTCCTTGGTGGGGGGCAGGAGGGCTCTGTCAGGGAGACAAGGGGGTGGGAGAGCTCTGACAACCCAGGCAGTGCCTGGGGAGCCCGAGCATCGCTGCAGAGGGGACAGGGCACTGCAGGGGACCAGGGTGGGTGGGGACGTGGCAGCAGCAGCTCTCCCTGCTCACTGTGCCCGCCTCGAATGCAGCGTGGCCAACTCTGTGGTGGCTCCTGGGTGCTGCCTGCCCGGCTGCCCCAGTTTGGCACTGGCAGGGCTCTGGTGTGTGGCCATGAGACCAGGGGTTAACATTCTATGGAACCCTGGTTAGGGGCACCATAGGAAGGAGGTTCTCGAGTGTCAACAAAAAATTATCCTGTGCAAATAAACAGCAGAGATGGATGATCCCGTGCTGTTTGTGCAGGGAATTGCTGGAATGCCTGCTCGCTGTGCTGCTGTCCACAGGGGGCTGTCTCCAGCCCCTCCCGCCGTGTGCCTTGGGCTCAGGGAAGGATCTGCCTCCGGGTCACCTTCCCAGGCTGGTGTGTGCACACTGAAAACGTGGTGAGGCAGCTGGGGAGGGCTCAGTCCTTCGTGCTGTGCACATACCCATGGGTGCGTGGTGAACAGCACAACACAGACCTCCACCATCCCTGCTTCCCTGCCTGCTGCCTTCAGCCTTCCTTAAATCCTTTTTCTAGGAATAAAGGCTTAGATCAGAGCGAGGTTGAACCAGGATGCACGAAGACATACAAGAGATAAAGAGATAAATACAAGTGTAATCTGGATCCTCCCCAAGCAGAGGATCTTCAAGCACTTCCCAGGCAGTCGTTCATCACTGCAGTGTCAAGACAAAGTTGGTGGTGGCATCCACAGCTTTGCCAGAGGGCACATCAGACCTGGAGCTCAGGGAGGTTCAGCCTCTGCATTTGGGGAGGGTTTTGTGATGGTGGGATGCCTGGGTGGTGTGGGAGAGCTGAGCCTCTGTGTGCCACACCAGGGGAATCCCACACCATGAGGTTCCCAAGCCATGATGATCCATGCCATGAGATTCCCATGCCATGATGCCCTCACCTTGAGATTCCCATGCCATGATGCCCTCACCTTCTCTTAGTCATCCTGTTCCTGGTTCCCGCCCTCCTCTCCTCCAGGCAGAGAGCATTTCACCCGTGCAGCAGCTCCAGGCTCCCCAGCAAAGAAAACCTCTCTCCCTGGACATCTCCCTGCATGCCTTCACAGCCACTTGGTATTGAGCAGGATGGAGGATGTGTCCTGGAACCAGGGCTGGATTCCAGCCTGATTTAGGCTCCAGGTTGGAATGTGCAGCCGGAGCTGAGCTGGGGCAAGTGGCAGGGGGGACATGTATCACCAGGTCCATTGCTCTCTGCAGCTGGGGAGTGTTTAATGGGGCACAGAACATTTAAAGGGGTACAGAGGTGTTTTAAGGTGCACAGAGAGTGGGTCTGGGCCCCAGTTCTGGTGTGACACACCCAGGCCAGTAGCATACGTGTCCCCAGAGACTCCTGTGTGTGCACACGGCCCAGCACACGCGTGTTCTGGAGGAGCCTGTTGGCCCAGGGAGGAGCAGATCTTCTGGGTCCTTGGCTTTAATACCCTCTAGATTAGTATCTAGAAAGCCTACATTTATGGGAACCCAAATACTCACCTGTACGTGTGGCAAATGACAGGCGAGCAAACATGGGTCTGTGCTGGGCTGGCAGGGCCAGCGAGGCAAGGGCAGAGCCGTGGAGCTGCAGAGGAGCAGGAAAGCAGCCCCAGCTCGTTTGTTTTTTGTGACATCATGGCCTCCTCTGGCTTTTTTCACAGTTTTCCTCTGTTGTATTTAATAGACTTAATGGATCACACAGCACTATAACAACAACAGAGCTTCAATGTTTTTATTAAAGCCATCTACAAAAATCCCTCTGTGCTCGAGCTTTCCTGCGGGTTGACTCTTCTGAGATGCTGTTTCCATTAAGGACAATTGCAGAGAATAAAGAAGGAATGAACAAACAAATGGAAAAAGGGAAGGGGAGGGAGCTGTGGAGCAGAGCAGGCTGCTGCTGGAAAGGGGATGATGCTGGCCGTGTCCCCCTGCCCGTGTCTGAGTGGGGCTCCTGCCACCAGCCTGGCTTGGAGGGGCAGCACCAAGGCCTCCTGGCAGAGCCAGAGGGGTTTGGTGAGCAGTGATGGCAGCACTGCTGCCTCGGCCTCCCAGGGAGATCCCAGGGGGGAAACGCTGGTGTCACACTTGCCAGGTGTGAGTTATTTGCTGTCTCCATTAGGGCCGTGAGTGATGTGGAGGGAAGGAGCTCTCCCTGCGTGGGGTGATGGATGTCACCACCCAGCCACTGCCAGGTTGCTGGGGATCAAACATTTTTATCTGCAGGGCTGCCAGGCGTGGAGCAGGTTGCTGAGCTGATGTGCTGGTGCCACCAGAAATAGGGGAGCCATGGGCTTTGGTTGGCAGGGTGGGGTTACATCCCTTTGCTCACGTGCTGGGGTGGAGCACGAACACCAGGAAAAGTACCTCTCCAGCCCTGGGGCAGCATCCATGTGGGACCTGCTACTGCTTCAGCATGGCAGGGGGACTGGAGCAGGGAATGTCACAGCCATTGGAGACCCTCTTCTCTTCACTGTGACATGAACCATCACCAGGGAGATCCACCAGACCGGGAAAAGGGGAGATGTGTCCAGCCCTAGAACGAGATCCCCAGTGTACAGCTGGGCTCTGGAGCGGCTGGAAGAGGCTCTGAGCCTGTACATGCCTGGTACTGTTGGACCAGCATCTTTGCCACTGAGCTGGAAGCAGCCAGGTTTGTCCAGCACATCTCATCCCAATCTCCTGCTGATACCTGACCTAGTCCCTCTGCCTGGTCCAGCAGATGCTCCCAGTGTTGCAGGAGCCATGGTCACAGCAAAGTGTGTGAGGCAGTTTGTGCTCACCCTCTGCCTGGCAGGGACAACACCCTCCTCTGTCTGCCAAAAGACTCTCAGTTTTCCCTCTGCTGCTTTGATCCTTTTTCTTTCCCAAAACTGACACTTGGGCTTTTCATTTTGTGGATGCTCAGAGTTTCAAAAGGTCTGGAGAAGCTCTTCTGTCTCGGCAGGACCCTGGCACTCTCCTCTGGCCTCAGCTGTCATCAGCCCCCTGCCCGCTGTCCCAGCCCGGACATGGCACTCTCCTGCCCCATGGATGAGGAAAATGAGGAACAGCCTGGAATTCCTTTGAAGGGGAGATGTCAGTTTTTAACTGGAGCTTTGAACCTGCCTCTCAAATCCCAGGGAACCTGACCCAGCCAATCCCATCAGTCAGCACCCACAACTCCAGCTCTAAGTTTACTCTTCCGTCCATGCCACCATCCCAAGGAGCACGATGATGGATGAATTCTGTCAGTCCTGCAGGTGTTTTGGCTGTGAGAGCAGCCTGGTCACCCAGGGTCCACCACAGGACATTAGATGTTGTGATCTCCGTGTGGCAGGAAGGGAATCACACAAACACCATGGGTAGGTTGTTGCTTGACAAGCCGGTCACTCCTGTACTCCGGAGCTGTTGGAGACACCCTTGGGACACAGCAGTGCTGAGCAGGAGCAGCTCATCTCTGTGCCACCCCAGGTGGCAGGTTTTTGGAGCCCAGCCTTGAAGCACGTGCTGCAGGTTGGTGTCTGGGTTTTTGTTTTCCCAAGGACTCTCTTTCTGTGTTACCATGTGCCTGTGCTCCTTTGTGTGTGCCCTCAGACACCGAGCAGTTCCTGCAGGGTTTGACAGACACAGGCAGAGCTCTCTGATTTATGCCACTCTGACACTTGCTTGGCTGTAACACCTAGGGAAGCCCCTCGTACCTGCCCTGCCAGAGCTGCTCACTCAGCCCTAAATCCAGAGACTGCTCTCGCCTCCCCTCTCCTCTAACAGATCCCAGAGCATTCCCATTTGTCCGTAGCCAGCCCGCTGTTCCCCGTAATGCGCTAAGCT